CAGGGAAGCCCTGAGGTGGAAGTCAGAGGTGAGCATGAGGCAAGGGCTATGAGCTGTGTCTGCCTGAAGTTGGCAAGAGTTCAACTGGTTGCCATGAAGGGGACTGGGACTAGAACAAGTGTTTAAAGGAGAAAGTTGCCATCTTACTTTGGATTCACTCAGAAGTAGAGCAAGGATCCACTGTGAGCTTTCATTTGGTCAGCTTCCTCAAGAAACACTGGTAGAGGAGTGGGGAGAGAGGTGGCTATTGCTGCCTGGCTGTCCCTACCAGCTAGATGAGGGAAGAAGGGTTTCTTTTTAAAAAATGTATTTTATTATATTTTTGAATTACCACACGTTAATAATACAAGGGGATTTCATGGTGATAAGTCCATATATACCTACAGTGTACCTTGCACAAGCTCACCCCTCCTTTATTCCCATTTCTTCTCTCCCCTCTCTTTCAAGTAGTGTATAGTGGGTTTCATTATGCTGTCTTCATATGTATACATATAGTGTACTTCCATCCTCTTCACCCGTCAGCGTCCTTCCCTTCTCTCACCCTTCCCATTGCCCCTACAGATAGTCCCCTATATACATTCTTGCCCCATCACCATCATCATTTTAGGTCTAGGTTCCACAAATAAGCAAGAGCATGTGACATTTGGCTTTTGAGCTTGGTTCATCTTGCATGTCATAATGATCTCCAGTTCCATCCATTTTCCTGCAAATGACATAATTTCCTTTCTCTTTATGGCTGAGTAATATTTCATGGGGAAGTATGGGTCCCAGTTTCTTCCACTCGTTAGTTGTGGAAGTGAGTTGTGTTGTGAGTACAACAGGCTCCAGGGGCCAGAGGAAACATTCAGGTAAATGGGTGCAGGTGCTGGCAGTTGCAAGACAACTACTACACATATAAATGACCAAGAGGAGCTATGACAGGGCACTGACAGTGGGACCATTTGATACATCCTCTCTCCTGTTTTTTCTTGTCTGCTTCCTTCTTGGCTTGTCAAATTTGCAAATCCATCATTGTCTATTATGCTGAGCGCATGAGCTTTCTTAGCGTGTGGTCCTCCTTTGTGTAACCAAACACATGGAGACACTCATCAGAACACAAGGCCCTCCATGGAAGGCAGAAGTTCATTAGCTGTCATTGTTTGCTATTTTTGTGTGTGTGTGTGTGTGTGTGGTACTGGGGTTTGAACTCAAGGCCTTGAGCTTGCTAGGCAGGTGCTACACCACTTGAGCCACTCCACCAGCCCTGTGTGTGGGTGTGCGTGTGTGTGTGTGTGTGTGTGTGTGTGTGTGTGTGTGTGTTGGGTATTTTTGAGATAGGGTCTTGTGAACTATTTGCCTGGACTGATTTTGAACCATGTTCTTCCTGATCTCTGCCTCCCAAGTAGCTAAGATTATAGCTGTGAGCCACTAGTGCCTGGCTCAGTCAGCCTTCTTTGATTATTTTAGTAAATTGTTTTCTAGTCAGCTAGTGAAGTCCATTCTTTTTCTGCTCATCAATTCAGATGACCATGCAGGCTCTTGGTCTCTCCTGTGAACTTTTACACCAAGCTCCACAAGAGAGATATTATACTCATGTACCAAAGAAACTCAAGACCAGAGTGACGTGTACCGGTTCTCAGTAACTTCTTTCCGAACCAAGTTTGGGAAGCTTCTCATGGATTTCTGTGCCCCTTCCAGCGGCTGGAGACAGTCTGGAGAATGCTTTTGGATACAGTCTTCTGGGACGTTTGGATGGATTACAGGAAAATGGAACAGCCTATTAATTTAGCCGGGTTCTGGAAGAGCTGGGACATTAAATCCCTAGTCTCCACACATCCCAATCTTACAGATTGTACTTGACCATGGTAAACAATTTAGACTAGTTTGGGTATGACATGAAGCTTCCTCTTGGCTATTTCTACATCTTCACATTGAATAGAAGGAAATCGCTTAAGCCTTCACAACACTGTCTGGTAGGAGGTGGAATGCCTTGCTTGGCTTCCTGCCCCATTCCTCCCACACCCACAGCTGGGACCATTTGCCCCCTCCTCCCCCTTCAGCTCCCAGGCCTTAGACCTTCCCTGTCCTCCATCAGTCTACGTCAGTAATTCCCGCCTCCAAGCTAAACTCCTTTTTGTCTATGAGCATGTCTGGCTTCCCAGGTAAAAGAGGTACAAAATCAGCAATAGTAACATGCATCTATTTCCAATCACTTAATAGGGGAGACATGAACGTCGGGGACTTCATCTTTAAACCAGTGAATTGGGTGTTAGACACTACCCTGGAGCCAAAAAAATAGGAAATGTATACACAGGACTTCCTGCAAGAGTCCTAAAGGAATCTTGCTGCTGTTTCCATATGTGCTGGGGACTGGTAAGTTGGATCACAGTCAAACCCATCAGTTAAAATGCAGCTAGGACTTCACCCTTCAGGTAACATACACAATGGAGGTGGGCCAGGTTTGTTTCATGGTGGTATCTTAGTTTCCATGGTTTTCAGTGCAGACACACTTTATTTGTACATTGAACATGTGGAAATATTTCTTCTCCATCTTTTCTTAGGTGTGGCTTTTTTTATACCTTTTGCTTGCCCGTTTCTAACAGGCTCATGAGCTCTTTAAGTGATTCCATTTTTCTCTTTCTTCCAAGCAAAGCCAGAATACAGGTGTGCTAAATGGGCCTGATGCTTAGTCTTGGCATTGGGAATAGGGAGTAGTGGGGACTATGGCAAACTGGAGAGTCTTACCTGAACTGATTCAATGCCCTGTTCAATACCAGGAATTGTTGTCTCTGGGAATGAGTGGCCCCATGTCACCAGGTTTTTCCAAATTTTAAGAAGAAACTAGAAATGTAGATTTTAAGGCACCATTTCCTAATCATCAAATATTGCTGACTAATTTAATTTAGAGGTTGACACTGGGCAAGACAACCAAATATATCTGTGGGCCACATTGAACCTATCACCACAGTTCACAGACTCTGGCTCTAACTGTCAAACAGAACTACAGAAAAACTATGTCATCACAGTGATAATTGGAGGTTAGGGCAAAAGCCTGGACTCTTTTGAAAGAGTCCCAACAGACCAGGCTAGGCCACCTGCCCCAAAATGTCAATTAAAGAGATGAGTAGTGGTAAAGGACAGAGGAAAGAGGTTTATTCAATGCTGGCACATGAAAAGAACAGAAAAAGGGGTCAATGACCCCAAGTCCATCTTTAGGGTTTTGACATGAGTTTCCAGATTATATAGGGAAGGGTCAAAGGTTGCACATGAAACATGCATAGTTCATATGTCTTGGTCAAACTGTGACCTGGTTGACTATTATCTCAGTATGGTCAGGCTGGTCACAATGAGAAAGTCATTACTGCCTAGAGGGTAGACTCAACTCTTGTCACAAACTGTTTGTCCATCAGCCCTGTCATTCCTGGAATCCAAGGTGACTGCACCTTTAGGACAATGACAGGAGACCTTTGGGGGTCTGGAACAGGACATTGTACTGACAGTGCTCTTTATCTTTGTCCCTTCAGCCTTGAAGAGGGATGAGATAAGTGAGGTATTACTAGTTTTAAACAGATACTCTGTAAGCAATTAACATGTCTACGTGCAGAGTTAAACAGGAATCTAACCCAAAGATTTAAAGACAACAGAGAGAAAAGCAAAATGAAGGTGGGAGACCAGGCTTTCATCCTGCTTTTAGTTCCTTATGGGTCCAAGTTAGGAGTCAGTGCTTTTTAGCAGAAGCAGCTTCTAAGAACCAGTTGTAACAGCTGATGTGGCTTTTCTTAAGTAATACAGAGCTACTGCTCTAAGGAAGTCAGTTATAGTCATAGCTAATATGGTAAGTGATAAAGAAAGTCAGAACCATGGAAACCAATTCCTATGGTTAGTGATTCGGAATAAAATAAGGTTATGCACAGCACAGAATGGCTACAAGTGGGAGAAAAGTCTCAGTGGACAGTGTCCGTAGGAGACACTTTGTTTTCTGTGTTATCTCCTCACCAGGCCATCCTAGCTCTAGAGTGGCTTGGGTTCCTGTGCCTCCGTCCCTGAAGAGCTTCTCTTAATGTTGGGCCTGTCTCCTGCTGGTCACCTCCCCAGGCTGCAGTATGAACAACCAAAAGGAACACACAGTGCCCAGGGTGCTGAGGGCTTTTCTAAGAACCCCTGGAACCTTCCCACCACCTAGCAGGAGGGACCATCCTCACCCCCATTTTACAGATCTTCCCATGTTTCCCACATTATGAAAGCAACAGATCTAGGATTCCATCCAGACTGCTGCCCAGAGCCCTGGCCCACCATTCCTACCTTCTCTGCTGCTTCTTAAGGGGTCTGTCTTCTCCAGGGCGGAGCACTCAGAGTCCGTGAGGACCTGCTGACTCCACAAATCTGCACTGTATGAAGACCTTTCCCAACCCCTGGAGTCTCCTGCCTTCACAATGGAACTCACTGGTAAAGTGCCGCCCTGCCCTTTGGGGCCCCAGTTCCTCCATCATTAAAATGTGGATACGTGGAGGTGGTTGGATCAGGTTTCTTAGGGTTCCGTCCATAATGGGATTCCAAAGTGCTCACTGCACACTGGTGGTTTCATGGCCTTCAAGGAGTTAGTGTTAAGTTATCACTAAGCTCCCCAAAAGCTTCCACTCCTGGGCATCCAAGTGGGCTCTTGCGACAGGTGTGTTGGGCAGGGCACTGCAGCCAGGAGTTCATTCCGGCTGTGCGGCCTTGGGACATTCGCTCCACCTCTCTGAGCCTCAGTGTCCTCCTAGGTCATCTAAAGAAACCACAGTGATCGCATCCTCCCTGAGTTGTGGTTAAGAAAGGAGAGAGCTTGTCAGCGGGGCAGCCTCGGGGACAGACTTGAGGGCGGGGGTGGGGAGGCTCGCCAGCACAGGGGGCGCCGGGTTTTCCTCCTAGGTTACTTAAGGCCGCTTGGGGTGGAGGCAGCGGCCGGGAGCGCACGTCAGTCCGTCCGTCGCGGGAGGAAAGGGGCGTGGGGAGGCGGCCGGCGTGGCGGGATCCCTGGGCTGGAGCGCGCCGCTTGCTGCCTGAGGTGGGACTCCGCGCGTGGGGGAGTGCAGGGCGCGGCGGAGTCGGGTTTCAGAGCGCGGGTGACTCAGGCGCGGGCCGGACCCGGTGATCCTGCAACCGCCACCGAGCGCCGCCTTTGTTTCCCGCGGGAAGAGCGAGCGCTCAGAGCCCCTCGCCTCCGCAGAGCTCGCGGCTCCAGCAGACCCGTGCCATGGCGCCCAGGTAGGACTCGCGTCCCCGCGTCCCCGCGTCCCCGCGTCCCCGCGTCCCCGCGTCCCGGCCCCCCGCGGCCGGCCGCTGCCTCACCTTCTCTCTCCCCTGCTTCTTGCAGGAGCAGCGCGCGGTGCTTGCGCCTGCTGTTACCCGCGATCTCGGCGCTGCTCTCCGTGGTCACCCAGGCGCGCTCCTCGGCAGGTAAGCGACCCAGCCCGGGGTGGCACCGCGGCCTCCGCGCCCTGGGGAAGGGGGTTTGGGCGGCGCGCGCGGCTGCCCTGCGCGCCTCATTCCTGGACATAAAAGGGAGTCCTCGGCGCTCCGTGCGCCCTGCGGTCCTGCCAGCGCCTTCCTCCGGCCGCACATGGGGTCCCTGGGAAGCCGGGCCACCGAGCTGTCTGTGCTGGGCGCGGCTCCTCCAGTCTTGAGCAAGAGAGGGACTTTGGAAACTCAAGAGGCGACAGTCAGCCGAGGCGCACTGAGTGCCCGCGCTCGGATTGTGCGCGCTGGCTGGCAAGGGCAGGCGATGCTCTCTCGGTACGGTACCGGGACACAGGTGCGCAGCAGGGCCACCGCAGGGCATCTGACCTTTGCCGCACCAGCAATAACGGGGCTGAACGGATCGCAGGCTTAATTTAACTCTCAGTTACTAGGGGGTCGATTCCCTTCTGGGTCGCCGCACCATAGGTGATGGAAAGAGCTCTGGGCCTGGGGAAGCCGAATCTGGTCCCCTCTGTTCTCTGGGCCTCAGTTTCCCCATGAGAACTCAGCTACGGTTGGTCTCAGTTAAACTCAGACTGTCTGGGTGTGAATTATGGCTCTGTTGGGTGACCTTGGGGAATGCATTTCACAGCTCTGTGCCTCAGTTCCTCATCTAAGAAAGGGAGTAATTAGGGCATTTTAATTCCTAGTGCCACTGTGAAGATTAAAGGGAAGATTAGCAATAGTGTTCCTGGCACTTACTAGGATGAAGTTAGCCTGGAAACTGCCACTCCATCCTTGCATAAGTGTACGTTGATAAGCAAGGCAGGCTTTTTACAACGCTGAGGTTGAGAGAGGCTTAGGAAGGGGCCAATCAGAAAGTCAGAGCTTGAACCCAGGCCTCCAGGAGTTTCCCCAAGATGCTTAGCAGAAGAGCAGGCTTTCTGCACAGTAGCCTCTGACCCCTTGTGGATTTGGGAGATTTTTACACAGCTTCAATCCAATAAGGGAGAGGGAAGATTGGAGGGAAAACAAAAACCAAAAAGCCAGCCCCCAGAGGAAGCTGGGACTGAGTGCCTGGCCTTGGTTAATTCCTGTGCCCCAGAAGAACTTGGTCGCTAGGCAGTAAGACCCAGATACAAGGATGGCTTTCTTGCCAGGGCGTGCAGCCTGGCATGTCTTGGAGATCAAAGGGCAGCTGGAGCAAAGTTTTGGCACTCAGCACCGTGGCCCAAGTTGAGTGCTGCAATTTCCCATGTGCTATCAGACTCCGCCAGCTCAGTGGCAGAGGGCAACTTTGGATTCTGTGGTCTTCAGTGAACTTCGCTGCCATCCCCTCTTCTCCCTAAGGAAGATGGATTCAAAGAAAGAACCTTTGGTGTTTTTTTCCTCCTGAGTTTGTAGCCTGGCCCCAGGTCAGAGTTAGGGCTGTTGTTTCTACTGCAGGAAGCCCTGTTCCTTCCACAACACAAAACAGAGCACCAGGAAGCTCTCAGGAGGGCCATTGACACATTGACGGCACTCAGTGCTCCTTTGGAATAAGAAGAGGATTCCCGCTGGTGGTGGACGTTCAGAAAACACTGTGTGTTCCCATTTCATTTATCTAGTCTTTCATCATCACCCAGGAGCTGGAGCTAAGGACTGGTACTATGTCTGTCCTTCAGATGAGCAGCTGACTGAAGGTCACATCCCAAGCCACTAGGTGTCTAGGGAGGATTTGAACCAGGGAGTCTGACTCAGCATACTTGCTGTTAACACTCCAGCACTCAGTTAGAGATGCTTCAGTGACGGAGAAGCATCTGTGCGGACTGTGGGGTCAAGTCCCCAAGAAACCACATAATCAGAGTGTCACAACGGTAATACACCTGTGAGCATTGTGAAACACTCCCCTCCATCGAAACACTGGATTTGCCACCTAGGTGTGCCGGGAAGTTCGAGTTCATCTTATGGTGGAGGCTCACAGAGGGCGTGTGATTTGCCTAAAGCCACACAGCTGTGCATGGGTAGATCTGTGATACCCTTACATGTCTGGGACTCCAAGACAGATGCTGATTGTCCATGGGCCACTGATCAACTGGGTTTTTATAGAAAGTGGCAGTACTACTGTGAGCCGCAGGGCTCTAAGGCTGCCGTGTGAATAACTCACCATTTTGTTTGCAAGAATCCCACTTATTATCCCCTTTCACAGATGAGGAAACTGAGGCACAAAGTCATTTGTTCAAGAGCATGTGGCTGTCAGTGACAAAAGTACAATTTGGAGCCAGAGGGCCTGACTCCAGAATTTGTGCTCTTGACCTCTGTGCTAAACCCTTCGGTAGGGCGGCTTCCGGAAGTATGCTTCTAAGTGGGCTATTCCAAGTGTGTTACATTTTTTCAACAGTTTGGCAGTTTCTTAAACAGTTAAATATGCACTTACCCTACAACCTAGTGATTTCACACCTAAAGATTCATTCAAGTGAAAGGAAAGTTTTTGCCCACCCAAAAACCCGTATGTGAATGTTCATACCAGCATTATTCCTAATGACCCCAAATGGAAATAAAGTGGTTCATCAACTGGTCAATAAACAAAATGTGATATATCCTTTCAGTGGAATACTATTCAGCAATCAAAAGGACCGAGGCACAGATCCATGCTACAATATAGATAAACCTTAAAAGCATTAAGCTAAGTACAGGAGGCCAGATACTAAAAAAATCAAAAGAGAACTCTATATTGTCAGAGTCCTTAGTATGAAATTTCTAAAAAGGCAAAACCTCAGAGGACGGCAGACCTTGGTTGGTGGTTGCCTTGATCAGGGAGAGGCTGACTGCCAGTGGGCAAGAGGAGCTTTCTGGGGGCTGTGGTCTGGTTGTGAAGCTGTACAAATTGACCTCAATGATGCTATTTACAAAAACAGAAAGAGGCTCTGTTGTAGGGTGTCTAGTCTCAGATGTGAGGGGCTTCCCAGCAGGTTCCTAGTCCAGAGCTGGCCTTCACTCACTGCCCACCAGCTGCCAGCCCGAGTGCACCATTTCCTGAGTTCCAGCTGGAAAGCCGGAGTCCATCTTCAATTCCATGTGTCCACTCTGCTCTCCCCAGTGTCCCTAAATGCCATGGTGGGCCCAGGCAAGGCTCCTCTCATAGGTGTAGAACACAGCGTGCAGTAAATCTGTGGGTTACGAACTGCTGGAGGGGGGTCTCTATGTTTCCCAGTGTCTGCCCCCAAACCCCAGACTTCAAGCCCTGGGGAGCTGGGTCTCCTCACTGTTCAGTGTGACCTGGATAGGTCAGGTTCTCCATTCTGAGCCTTGGTTTCCTGCCTATAAACTGGGGAGGTGAGATTCATTCGTTCTCTATCTCGTAGTGTAAAATATTGGGAAATGTTTAATTATTCCACATTTCTTAGTTCAACAAAGACACATTCAACACTGCTGGCTAGGGACAGAAAGGAGTTGGGTGTGTATCTGCCCGGAGGGGTCACAGTTCACAGGCTGAGAGACAAGGTCACAGGTGACTGTGACACAGTTTTCCTGAAGCTCTTCTCGCCCAACATCCATCATGGGGTTTGAACTCAGGACCTCATGTTTGCTGGATAGGCGCTCTACCATTTGAGTCACACCCACTGCCCTTTTTACTTCAGTTATTTTTGAGATAGGGTCTTGTGTTTTTGCCCAGGGCCAGTCTTGGACCACAATCCCCCTACCTATGCCTCCTGGGTATCTGGAATTACAGGTGTGTGTTAGTATCCCTGGATTCTTTGTTAAGATGGGGTCTTGCTAACTTTTTGCCTGGTCTGGTGTCAAATTGTGATCATCCCAAGCAGCTGGGATTACAGGTGTGAGCCACTGTATCTGGCTTCCTACCATCCTGTTTGAAGAGACGCTTTTTAGTGGGAAGTCACCCACAGGGTCCATTACGCCCCTAACAGGCTGAGGTTGGGCTGCAGGACAGCATCATCTCTCCTTTCCCTGGTGACATTACAGTGCCACTGGAATTCCTGCTGCTTTAGAAGATAAGGATCCTTTGCCCATGTCTCCCAGTGTACGTGATGGTGTTGTTTTAAGTAATTTGTCCTAATTAAGGTGCTGATATGTTCAAGTCACTGGCTTCTCTTTAAACTGTTTTCTTACAAAATATCACAGCCTCTCAGAAGAACACACACGGAAAGTACAGCACAGTGACTTAGCTGCCAGCAAACGTCCATTAGCCCAAGTTGGGAAACGGCCCAGCCCCAAGTTCACTTCTGCCCTGTGCTGAGGGCCTCCTTCCTCCTCTCAGAGGGAACCACTGCCTGAGCGTTTACGCGCCTCACTTCCTGTGTTTGAAAATCAACTTTACCACTAAGTACATATCCTTAACTGCAGAAGCTCTGTTTTACTTGATTTTGAACTTGGTACCTGCTTCCTTCCTGAGCACTAAGTTTCTGAGATTTATTCATGGTTGCTTATGGCTACAGTTGTTCATTTCCATTGTTGTATAGTACTCCACTCCATCCTCTGACCATACCAATATGACTTACCTGTCAGCTTCAGCGGACAGGACAGTGTTCTCACCTTGGCTCTCGATGCACACCTGTGTGGTCCCTCCTGGTGCTACACCTAGAGTGTCGCAATGGGCCACAGGTTGTGCTGACCCTCCCGTGGGCAGTGGTGCCCGGGGGCCCTCCACGAGGCCCCCAGGAATTGAGGAAGCACATCTCTTCCTGTCCTCACCAGTAATTGGTCTTGTCACTGAGCTTGATCTCAGCGTTTCTGATGGTGCATATGCAATCTTACTGCAGCCTTAATTTACATTTTCCTGATTCCTAAGTTGATCCTCTTTCCATGTGTGTGTGGACCATTTGCATTCCTGACTTCTTTTTCCTATTCGAGGTGAAATTCCTCCGACAGGAAACTGACCATTTTAAAGTGCACATCTGTGCAATCACCATTTCTATGGACTTCCATAGCACTTGATCACCTCACTCTCATTAAGCAGTCCCTCCGCTTTTCCCCCAATCTCCAGCCCATGGCAACCACCA